TCCCCCTTTAAAAGGTTACAAATTATAAGGATAATTGCCCTTGTTTTGGCTTGGAAATTCCCGATGATGTGGTCATTATACACCCGCCAAATAGTTTGAACTCAGTGCGCGTAATTGAAGCGTAACGTGCGTCCTTGAAGTGTCCGTCTATAAGTCCTTTCAGTCAGCACCAAAAGTTAAAAGCCAAGGAACTGAAAACAGACAACCAGAACCAAAAAAGAAGTTGTTATGTCACTGGGTTGTATGCAGCTTAGTGCATTATTTTATATCAAACGCCATAATTGTCATGACGAATGATGAGTCAAGATGAGTAAATTCGATAGGGAAGCCTTGTGACAAATAATGACAAAAAATATAATTCAAAATGAGTCAACTGAGGGAAGAGTTATAGGCTTTCATTTAAATTAAATTCTTAACAATATCAAATGACTAGTATGTGTATGTTTCATTCCCACTTTAAGACTATTTTGCTTTAGTCTGAAGCTTTAATCCTCGCCCTAAGTCACCTCCTAAGAACCGAAAGAAAGTTAAGTCAGATTTATTCGCCATCATATTTCTCTTGCTCACGCCATAAAACTTTCAATTTGCATCACCCCAGACGTATATTTATTGGCCTTAAGAGAAATGGCTGTCAGGCGGCATAATTATTGAAATATCAAGTCTGGGAAAACTCAGCGAGTGACGGGCGATAAATTGAGGAAAGCCGACAAGTGTCGGCGCAATGTGGGGGAAAACTGAAAGGAACGAAAGGGAAAGAACAGACCCTGACCCTGAACGCATTTTGACCTCATTCAGTCGAGATTTCAGCAATTAATTGCAATTAAAACACCAAGCCAAACCAATGGGGCTGACTATAATTGTGGGCGGCTCGGCCAAGAAAAGCAATAATCCAGTAATGACTCGAAAACCATTTTCCTTTTCGTTGTTTAAGTAGTGAAAACTAAACAAATCCCCCGTGTTACTCATACGCCCCGTTAACAGAGACACAAATAAGTGCACACATCCGCAAAAAGCAGAAAGTCATAATTGCCGGCGAGCAAAAAGAAACATTGAGCTAATAACAAATAAACGAGCGTCGAAAATAACACAAAACACTAAATCTATAAATACTAAATAGATATAGGCAAAGAACAACAGAAATGGATCACAAAGAAATCGCAAGTCAAGTGCGAGGTGAGCTAAGTATGGAAAATAATTTATTCTCACATTTCGTTCACTAAGTTATTCTACTTTTATTAATTTCACATGTTGATAATTCAACACACGTTAATTAAATTTCAGTATAGGGATCACAAATAAACAGAAACTCTGTTTAACTAGTTTGTTTTGCCACTGCAATTATCCCGATCACACATTTCTATGATAGCGCTAAGCGGCACATGATGTTGATATGGGCAATTATCACTGAAAACCTATCTGCATGTGTACAATATTTAGAGTCGAAATTAGACCGGGGGAACTTAACAAAACACAGTCGTGTGTCATGCCAAATAAATACATTCGCCCCCACTCGACATAAAAAAAGCAAACAAAACTGCGGAGCACAATCAAACACAATCAACGGAATTTCAAATCTAATCAACACGATAACTTTCCGTTGTGTTGTGTTTTTTCTTTTGCTCATTTGATGTCAATTACCATACACCATAGTATCTTATCTTGGTGACTCGACAACAATGTGCTTAATTATTTTACGTTCTCATTATTATTGTTAGGTCTCGACTTTGACTTTCATTCTTTACTCCTGAACCTTAGATTGATTTAGCTGTCGATATTGGAGCGAAGTTTCCTAAGTAGCCAAGTTTGATTAAAAACAATGTATCTTTTCTTTCTAAGTAAAGAAAAATACTATTTCTTTATTGTCACAAAGAGAACGAAAATAACCAACTGCTTTGATTTGAATCAAGCCAATCTAAGTCAGTTTCAGAACTCGCACTTTCGGTTTTCCTCTTTACTGTTTTTCACAGAATAGTTATGTCTTTTTTCTTGGCTTTTCCCAATCGTACACTCAACTCGGGGCTCCATGGACTCCCACACAGTGCCCCCATGTCCTCGTATATATAAAATGAATGTATGTGACAAATAGAGGCTCTCGAACGACCACCCACGCCCACTTCAATTTGACACGTTTGAAGTGTTGAAAAGTCCGCGGAAAGTGTTCACGCCTCGTCCTCTGTGCGGGATAATTTGATTTCATTGCGAATATAAAGGGGGATTAGCATTGCTTGCCAGGGTATTAATAGCCATGGCATCCGGAAAACAAAAGATTAAGTCTTCCACTATTAGCAAGTTTAAAGCTAATTTATAGGCTTCTTAAATTAACGCTACAAATAATTTCGTGAATGAAGTATTTTATTGTAACTCAATTCAGTAGGAGTTTCGCTTGATTTGCAGTGTGTAAGTCAGTAAAACAATAACCCAATAAATCTGTGAGGCTGCTGAAAACCCCAAAGGGTGTAATAAAACACTCCTACCAACTCCGGCACTTCCTCTTTCGAGCCACATTTCATGGCCGCTGTGGTTTATGCATAGTGCAATTTCCTCGCCAGCATTTTATTTGGTTGGCAAATCTTGTGCCAATATGTGTGTGGGATGGCAAAAGTTTCGGAGCTGGAAAACTTTACACTTTTAAGCGTTATTTACGACGGCAGTCGCAGTGTGCAAGTGCAATTTATTGGGGTTCCTCTGTGCGACGGCGAAAGTGTTGGCAACTTTCGTTGGCAACTCAATTACAGGGTCCCCGAAAACGAGGCTCCGGGGAGGAGCTAAAGGCATAAAGGGTCCCTCGAGGGCGATGCAATGCAATTATCAAGTTCATTGACAACGCAGGAGAACAGGCGACAAACCAAAACAGACAAGGACAAACAACAAATGTTTTGCTCTCCTGCGAGAAAGTTTTATTGCAAATTGGGAGACCTCGAGTACAAGGAACACTTTTAAAATTGAAGGGAGGGGATTTCTCCCCAAGATGTCTCTGCAATTAGTTACAGCGACACTTACAGATGGCCAACTTTCCGCCACATCGCACTTTGACTTTGTCATGGAAATGTCGCCCCGAACTGACCTGAAGTTTGTCTTTGTCCCGATTTAATAAGGCCATTATCAAACTTTCGCTAATTGCAAACGCCAACAAATAAGCGCTGTCTGCGTCCAGCTTAGTTTACAATTTAGTTTGCCCAAAAGGGGAAAGTCCTTCGCTTTGTTCCAACTTTCACAGGCATTTAATGAGCAGCCTGAGGGGATATTTCTTTGCTGAATTTAAAGCTTTAAAATAACGTCGAATCCCTGGCCAATTTTCACGAATTTGAATTCAATCAATCCACTGTCAGCGGCAGAAAAATCGAGTTGAGCAACAGAGCAATTTGAATTTGCCTAAGTGTCGGGACATATATTATCTGTACAGTACACACTCGCATATACACGCTGTGAAGGCGACGACACCAACTTAACTAGATGCCAATCAAATGCGCCGATCCATGGGTTAACCTCAATATGTCCCGGTGTCCCGACACCTGTCATTCCCTCCATTCCCCATTCTCCCGGAGCCGCAGACACTGCACTGTAATATTGGTGTCAATGTGTCAATATTTGAAGTATAAACACGTGTGCAATTACAAACTATACAAGTACGAGCTCGAGTGTTTGTGTGTGTGGATATGGGAGTGGGTGTGTGTGTGTGAGTGGTGGTATTAACAAAAGCAACGGCAACGGAAGTGCTCTACATGCGCCGGAAGAGGGGAAAATGGAGGGGCGGGCGGCTGAGAGGGCGTGGTCTGGTGGAAAAGCGGCTTTGGCCCAAAGCAATTTACATGCAATTTTCGCATATCTTGTGGCCCTATTCCACTTTCCTTTGCATCGGAATACAGCTAAAAACGGACGACTGCCTTTAAAGGATAATTTTTTCTTTGCCTTTTGCTCTCCTTTTACAATCTAATTTTGTAAGCAAAAAAGAGGGTTTGCTAAAGATATTTTTGGTAATAAAAAATAAAACCTTATCCCACTAACTTCAAGATATCTTTAATCTATGTTTTCCAAAGGCTTAGTTACCACGAAAATTCTTCTAATATCCCTCTCCATTTCCTCATTTATCCCGCCAAGTTGCATAGCAAATTGCACGCAAAGTTATGCGCGATTGGAAAAATTATAAGTTCTGGCTAAACGGCAGTATTTATGGCCTCTTTCTGGCAGGCCAACTGCAAGTTTGATCGATTTGGCATTGGGCACCCTGACGTGGCTTTATGGCCACAAGGCATTGACTGAGGTCTCCTCTGAGGTCTTGGTTCTTGGTTCTTGGCGTGCCGCAGAGAAGGCCGTCGCAAGGCCTTAATTATTGTGCAAGGACCCCATCGCGAACACCCCCAAACTTCTTGGAAGCACATTAAATCCCGAATGAGCCTTTAAGCCAGAGTAATTTCCGTCTTAGCCCGGGAGCATGCAACGATTATTTCTGTTTGTTCAGCGGGGAAACAAGAAAATTCCCCCAGCCGACGAGCAGTTTTCAGTGGCTTTTGCTTTTCGCGCGTTCATAATTTGAACAAATGCACCAACAATGGAAAACAGGCACGCGAGTTTTCCCCCAAAACAAATCACGCATTTCCACAGAAGTGCTCTTTTATTTTACGACTCTTTTTCTTAGCTTTCCCTTGCTTTTCTTTGGTTTACCCCCGAAATGTTGTTTGGCAAATTTGCGTTTTAGGATTGCGAGAACTTAAGACGCCATTTCACTCCAGCAGATATGCAAATACTTATGTGGACTGTGTAGGTTCTTGTGGCTAACACGGCGCATACGTAATTTTCTCTTGGGCAAAACCACAAACAAAAGAGGTTTGGGGTTTGGAAAAGCCGTAAATGGGAGATTAAATAAGTGTTTTCTTTAAGAGGCAGAAACTTTAGGGGAAAGCATAAGCTGCTATATGCGTGTTAAATTCTTAACTTTTTGCTTTAGTTGATAGTTTTCTCATCATATAATAATATATTTTGTTTCTTTTCTTTTGTTCCAGATCTGCGCACAGCTTTCGATCTACTAGACAGAAATCGCGACGGCAGAGTCACCGCCAACGAGCTGCAGTTTATGCTGAAGAACCTGGGCATAAACGTGAGTGACGAACTCATCCACGATCTCATACGTGAGGCAAGCCACTCGGGTAAGTGCCACTTACATTAGCCCCTTTGTGCGGCCCTTTTTCGCCTGGCCAACAACCTGTGGACACGAGTGCAACAGTTTGTCCCCGTGAAAGTGTTTGTTTGTCTGCCCTTTAATAATTCACGGCGCCCGGTGGCAGTTGAAAGGCCGTCGGGAAACGTTAATTAAGCCAACGGAGGAATGCCGATTGGTTCCACTCTCATTTAATCAAGCTCTGACCGGGTCACAAACAAAAAGGTTAAATAAGCTGGCTTTTGCTTTTAATTTCCCAGAGGTAAAGCAATTGCTACGAAAACAAAATCAAGTTTTTAAAGTAATTGAATCGTTAATAGAAGCGGCGCAAATAAGTATGCTACACTTTTTATAGGCAAAGAGAAATATTCTGTGTTTGCAATTTATTTCCATGGGAATTTAAGTTAAGTATTATTAGACCATCTCGCTTTAAGCCACTTTTCTACTTTCTGACGGCTGGAGTTTTCCCCCTTAATTCGCTCGTTAGCAAATGCAATTTTTATATTGGAAATTCCCCCGGGAAGAAGGAAAGCTGTAAAAGCATTTTCTTAGCCTGGTGAAAATAAAGGCGATAAGCGGAGGGTGGACATCCGGGCCTTTTCTTGTTGCATTCTCGGGATGCTGTCAATTTGTGTTATTTATATTTCATTTATCAATTTGGCCCAGTTGCGCTTGTTCAAATTAAGTTAGGCGAGTCTGGCGGAAAATTGAATCTTCTCCATTAATATGCAGTTGTTGTCATGTTCACTACGTGTTCGCATCAATAATGGAGTTCTCCTTAAATAGACAGAGCTATAATTATTGTGCACTCAACGATTTTATGTTAACAAAGCATCGATTTTGAAATCTATTTGCTACTAATTTAAATAAAAAATTTTAAGTTAACAATTTAATAAAACACCTCTTTGGTTGCATACTAAATTGACCACTTATTAGCCAATTTATAGATAAAAGCTCCACGTCAATTAAAACCGCTGGCTGACATGATTGTTCGCCAAGTGTTTGCATAAATTAAAGATAGTGTCACTCTTGTTTGTTCGACACCGGTAATTGAGTTTCGGTTAATCGCTTCACAGGTAATTAAAATATTTGTCCACTGCATTAGGGGCTCTTATCGGCGGTCTGCAGTTTGCACCGGCTGTGCTGTAAATTTAAACTCGGTCACGTTCAGATGAAAAGCGGGTTTTCCAGGGGCTTTTCCACGGGGATCGGTTTGCGGGCGAGTGACATTTATCATATAAAAGCAGGCAACTGTTGCTGACAGCAGCTCCAGACGGGGGCGAACGAGGGTCGGTGGGCAGGAGGATGTGTTTTGATGGCTGCCACCGGCAGGCGGTGTTGCACACGCCCCTTGCCACATGTGGATCGGACGCGGGGAGACCTGTAAGTTGACAGCGAACAGTACACGGGGCACAGGCTGCGACATGTGCCAGACAGACAAAACAAAGGCTCCAAATCCGATCAAAGAGTTCGCAGTTTAAAAATATACCAGGGGTTATGGAGGTCCTCTATAAGATAAACTTAAATAATCTTATTTAATATAAAATCTAAAATATTTCTCTCTCTTTGTGCATTCAAAAAGTATCTCAAACTTATGTATTTTCCCAGTTTTAAAATATAATGTCCATATAATGCCCAAGTAATCTCCAATATCCGCTCGGCAAATAGAAAACTTTTTGCGATTTAAGGCAGGTCCTTGAACCCCATCAAAGGCAACCGAATCAACATAAAAGGGCATCAACTTGGCCCAGAAATGGCCACAAAAGACCAAAGACAAAGACACTCCTCGCCCAGTGTTTTGCTGTTGGTATTCACTTGGCCAGCACTTCGATTAAGGCCCGGTCAAGTCGCTGAATGTGGCTTAAAGCGTGCACTTTATGGCTTCATTAACATTCCAGGGGTTTCAGTGACACTCTCTGGGGAGAAAGTGCGGAGAAAGTCGGGGGAAAGTAGGTTGGCAAGACGCTGATTCCGATTTCGCTAAGTGACCACCTGGCAGAGCTTTTCTTGGCCTTATTTATGCGTTCAAAGGAGCACGCAAGCAACAGTCTTTCTTCTCCATTTTCCATTTTCCACTTTCCTCGCTTCCCTCGCCCTATTTTTCCACTTAATTTCGGGGTCAATTTCCGCTTAGGCTGCCATTTGAAAATTTAATTTTTCGCTGTGCGCTAAGCGGCATTTAAAGATAATTGTTGCGCCCCCCAAAAAGGGGGACAAATTAATTGATTTCGGGAGTTGTGGGCTGCAGGTCGGCCGCCAGATGTGCTGACAGCTTTTAGGCGCACAATCCACACAATCGCCAGCTGGAGGCCATTAAATTTCCTATTAGCCAAGTTGTTAAGTGTCAAAGCCAGGCCCGCGGGGAATCTCCCTGTGTGCCGCGTTAAATTAGTTTGCCGTGGCCGAAGCCACAACCGCTGGGCTTCGCATTAGCGGCAACTGCGGACGCAATTGCACAACCACCGAATCGTGGGTAAGCCACCCACAAACCAAAGCAGCCTTGCTGCATTCGACCCTCTAATCGAATTCCAGCGAACAACCCCGTCCGAAATTTACATAACGAAGTCGGCACCCAAATTAAAGACAGCTCCGAATGCCAGCAGCAAGCGGAATGAAAATGCCCCGAAAATGCCGGAGACTAAGTTCAAAGTTCAGTTGGAGCCTTGAAATCGCTGCCTTGAACTGCATTTCTTGTCCGAAAAGCACGGATTTTCCCATTACCAGCAGACATTGCACATACGCAGCGTTGCCCTCTGACGGAATTTAATTAATTGCCAAACTGCAAGGTAATTTATTGGCCATCAAAGGCAGTCGTTCGTTGCTCACTGCCTGTGTATTAGTCAGCACTTATGGCCTGTTTTACAAGCCCGAAAACCGAATGGCCGAATGTCGCCCCACTGCAGCGCAACAATCAAACAAGAGTGGCTCAGTGGTTGGGTGGTTCGGGTTTCTGCCCCACAAATACAAACGTAAAACGCCCGGACGAACTTCCGTTTCCGTTTGCCGGGGCATGAGGTCACCAACAACCTACAACCAACCAACTGGCAACTGGCAAGAGCCCACAACCAGCAGCTCCGTTTGCCAATAATTGATTACACTTTGGCATGAAGTTGTTGCCACACACCTCGGCAATTCCCCCCAGATTCCCCTACTCTGCCCCCGAAACGAATGCACTGACAGACCGCAGTGGCCATTTGTTATGCCGGCTGTCATTGGGTGTCCCTCATCCAGGGGCAGCCTACAAAGCCGAAGGGATCTGTGATTGAAATAGAGTCCTCCGAAAAGGTGGCAAAAAAGCATTTAAAATGTGTGCAAATCGAATATCCCAAACTGCATTGAAAGTAAAATTAAGTGGCAGAAAACTTGCCTTATTTACTTTTAATTCCCTGATTGATTTAGCTTGTTGATCGGCCAGCTTAAGTGTTATAATTTAAACCTCTCGCCGGGAGAAACTTTCTGCAATCGATCAATGCCAAGAATTGCTGGCAACTGCAGGTCAAGCTTGAAAATTCTTTGCTCTGCCCAACGAGCCAAGTGAGGAGGGAAATACAAGTACTCGTATGTATGTGGCATTTGCTCCTCCACAGGACTCGTTCTATGCAGGACATTACCGAAATGTGCGACAAACAGTCGCAGCCAGAAACGCCCTCGCCTTCGTCCTTATGGCTCAAAAAAAAAGTAGAAAATACAACAAAAAACAGGACGACAAACGATGACAATGGCGGCAACGTCAACATCAACATACATATAACCAAGCCATTTTCATTATCCTTGGACTTGTCCTTTTCGCAGCCTGACACAGACATCGGCGCAGATGGAGGCGGAGATAGGGATAATGTGCATTTGGTTTTCGCATTTAAAAAGCCAAGAGGCTGAAAGCGGAAAGAAGGCCTCTCAAGAACGGGGGCTTGGCCCTTGAAATTGAGAAGGAAACTTGCAGAACCTGCAGTCATAAAAAGGAAAAAAAATGACTCATAGTTTATACCCTATTTTGGAGATTATAATAAATATGATGTGACTTGATCTATTTTGTATTAAGGAATTACATAAATTGGTTTAGAGCCCCAAATATTTGGGCATTAAAACTATTTCACCAACACTTTTATACACTTCCTTTTTCCGACAAACAAGAAATCCCTTTTCAGGGAATGGGAACTCCAAGCAGAGTGAAAGCCGCTAAGCGCAAATGAAAATATTTTCCAAGCAGCGCCGACACACAAATGTCACACAGATGTCAGAGCGACAAGAAAAGCAGGAAAAACTGCGGCAGGAAAATGGCGAATGGAGGAAGTGGATCGGTTCGGGGAGGATGACAATAATGGGTCGTGTTGAGCGTGTTGGGCGGCAACATATGAGCAAATACCCAAAGCAATCATCGTGATATGTTGATATGTTGACGATGGAGCAATATTTGTGCTCGGCCAGAGAGTTGGGTGTGTGCGAGTGGAACTTTGTTTTGCCAGTTGGCTGGAGGCCAGGGAACTCTCTGATTGCACTGTCTAATTGATGCGGATCCGCCTGTTTGACCCCTAATGCGTTTTTGATGCCGCCGAGCGAAGAGCAACAAATGGTTACTCGGGGTAAGATTCGAGGAGCTTCTCCGTAATTACCACCAATTATTTTTACGCCAGTTTCAGCCGAAATCTCTATCTTTTACTTAGCAAAGGGCTTTCGTTGTCTTGGCAGCGATTGGGGTGTTTTAACCAGATAAAAGGAAACGAAAAACAATTAAGAGGCGTTGAAAATGATAGGGAATTCACCCAAGGTATGCTGAAATATAAGAAACGTTCAAGGAAACATTATGAGTTGTCGGTTAAATCATTTCAGGGAGCTGAAAAAACAAACTGAATGATTATCTTTATACCTTACAAAAAATTGTGGAATAAATTAACTTGTCCTTGGTTCTTTTCGGGATAAAAAACGAATTCAAATTAAGAAGTTAGTGCTTTGCCATCTTCTTTCTTTATTGCCATTTCATTTAATTAAATTATTTATGTCTCCCAGTTCTATTTCCTGCCTTTCAACACACAAATAAATTAGCAATTCTAATTACGGTGGCGGTTTGGTCAAACAAATTGCAATTAGAGATGAAAAACCGAATTATATACACCGCGTTTCTTTTTCCATATCCTTTGGCATTCGCCGGCAAATTTATGCGAGCGGAGATTATTACAGATTTGGACTTCATTTTCGCCTCCATTCACAGAGTGAGCCGCGCCTTTCACTTATTTTCCCTCTAATATATCTTTATTATTTTTCTTGTTATCGCGCTGAAGGTCAAGGCCGAATGACAGAGCGCAAAAGGTTTTCCGGACGCCGTATCTTCTGCGCTTAATTATAAAAGTTTCAGCGGCAGAGATGAGTTGAGCCACTGATTTCCCACTGAGCGCGCTCACTTGCAGCTTTTGGCTTAGGATTTTCCCCCGGCTTTCCCTCTAGCTTTCCCTTTTAGCTTTGGCTTTGGTTTTGATTTTCCCTTTTCCCCACTTTTCGGAATGTTAATGGTCGCAGAGATCTCAGCCGGAAATGCCTCTGACAATGGCAGCACCTGGGCAGCATTCGGATTGGCGCAGGAGGAAGCCTGCCGAGCATATCCTGCCAACAAAGGATGTCCTCGTTGCTAAGGATTGAGGCGTGTAAACATTTCCCAACAATGAAAGTGCATTTTTTTGTGCTGAGAAAAGTGTTTGTTGAAAATGTTTCCAGCAGCACTTACACGCAAAATATTTGTGTTTGGAGGAGTGATTTAAGCTAAAGTTTAAAATAGTTTGGTAATGTATTCCAAATCTTTTAGTTTCGAAATCAAAGAACTCCTTATCTTATTGTGCTTAAATATATAAATGAAGAGGAAAGTATATTAATTTCATTACCAATTTTTCTGCGTGCATCCAATTAATGCATCCAAAAAATGTGTTATCCGGTAGAGAAATCCCACTGTTGCACTCGTTCGTGTCTACAATTTCCAGAATTTTCTCCAAATCCTATTCCTTAACCAGAATTCTTCTCCTCCGATTCGCAGGCAATGGCTTAATCAACGAGGCCGAGTTCCTGCAGTGGGTGGGCAGGATCCAGGCGCTGCGGGACGAGCAGCAGTCGCACGAGGACAGCAAGGACAGCAAGCCGGTGGACGAGGCCGATGATGTCACCGAGGACTTGATAGCCGCATTTAGGTGCGTACCATACAGTGCTTTGCATATCCGCTTAGCGACGCCCCCGCTAATTCCCTGATTCCCACTCGTCCTGCAGGGTATTCGATCGGGATGGCAACGGGTTCATAACGCGCGACGAGCTGCAGACCGCGATGGAGATGATTGGGGAGCCCTTGAACGAGCAGCAGCTGGAGCAGCTGCTGGTCATCGCCGACTTGGACCAGGACGGGCGCATCAATTACGAGGGTGAGTGCAGCCCACTCCTGCCACAGCCACAGCCTCAGCCACATCCACATTTACTGCCACTGCTACTGCTACTGCCACAGCCACAGCCGCCGTTAAAAGGACAAAGGACACTGCTGACGCAGGCGTTCGCGTGGAAGGACATGTGTGCACCGACAGAAATTAGCCATTGACATTAGCAAAAACAATTTGGTTTTTTCACAAGGCTACAAAATTAGTTGAGGGAACTTTTAAAGCGGGCTCAGACACCAAAAAGAAATGAAAGCCTTTGAAGATTTTTGTGGCAAATGCAACTTCAGCACTTATTTATTTTCAAGGCTATTAAATTGCCATTGCTTCTTGTCCATATGACTGTTATTAAGCTTGAGAGGATCCAGTCCTGTCCAATTGCAGCTGCGCCTGTCTGAGCCTTAATCAAGCGATGGCATAAAATATGGCAAACCCGTGTCAATATTTGTGCTACGCACCGAAAACCGTACGCCCATAAATCAGCTAGACAAATACGGCGACAACAAAGTTTATTAACCTCAAGGAACAGCAACAGGAGTTCACCTAATGCGGCCGAAGGTTTATTTGTTTGTTTACTCGTAAAGTTTTTTATACCCGCTACTTGCGGCCTGCTGGGTTTATTGGGTTTTCGTAGATTGAATCCCTAGAACTAGAAGTTGGTTTTTATGATGCAGCAACTAAAACTGCTAGTAAGGCTTCTGCATATGAAATTGTGTCATTCAAACGATAATCAAACTCTGTTTACAAGCAAATTTTCAGTAAAAAACTAAAAGCTTTAAAACTTTAGCTTATGAAGTGACTTTAAATTGAAACCTAACGCTCCCTTCCATAATTTGTTCCCCTAAAGCTACCTTTTAGTCATAAAAGTGAGCAGAGGTCTGTGGCTGGTCTTAAGTTGCAGACATAAAAACTTTTTGATAAGCAAATAACTACAAGAGCAGAGGAAAGAAAAAGTCTATAATGCAGTTGACCCAGAATGAAGTGGCAGCACCTCACCTCACCTCTCAGGATCGCCTTTCCCTGGGCGCCACACCCACTTATTATTCCGCACTAATGGCAAAAAATGGCGGCAGAGAATTCCCCAGCGTGGCATTAAATTGGTTTAATAAACTTAAACTAATACGGGGACATGCTCGACTCGAGTGTCCTCTTTGTACTTGCTTTTTTTTTTTTTTTTTTTTTGCTTTGCTTTGCTGTTGTTGGCCCGGCCAGGAATCCCTTGTATCATTAGGTTCATATGCCAGCGCCTCGCTAGTTGATACTTTGACCTTGTAACGCATTGACATGTCAGCACCGCCCAGCCGCCCAACAACCCCTCCGCCCACAAAGTCCGCCCAGTTCAGCAAAGTTCGAAAGGAACAGCCCGCAAGCCGCATTTGTTTGCTGGCATCTGCAATTTATTTACTCATTTTGCTCTTGTTGTTGCCCGAGCCTTTGCCTTTGCCTTCACGCTATTTACTTTGCGCACCGGCATCGACAACGGCCAACGTTGCGTATACGTTATACGTTCATTCGGTATACGCAACGTTGTCCGTTCCATTTTTGCTGACACTGCAGCGTTGGCCGCCGGAATATGTCGAGATTGGCCGGAGCAACACGTACTCCGCCTACGGAGAGCCCCGCCCATAAAGAGCCGCAGTTCGTTTTTCGGAGCGTGATTGCCTGGGGGCGACAGCTTATGTAGTTTGGATCTCTCATCTGTAAACTGTTTTTGCCTCGGTGGGCAAAAGCGTCGAAGGACACTTTGGAAATTCGATTTATTTCGTTTGATTTGATCACCAAGTTGTCTTATGTGTTGCGGTTAATTATCATACATCTTCACTAAACGTTATTTATTTTGTAGATTTACTATTTCCAGCGCTTTTGCTCTTTATATTTGATGCACTCTCACCCTCTTTTCTAATTTCAATTTTAGAATTCACGAGACTTTTGCTGTAAGCAGTTTTACGCCCGACTTGGAGGCATGGTCAACAGAAACCCCCGGAAATTTGGAGTGGAATGCAGCCCGAGTTACCCCTTCAGAATAATTGTTAAGCTATTAAGAATATACTCAGACAAGCAGAAAATAATAATGCAACAAAGCGTGCAGAACGTAATTGTTTGAAATTTTATACACAAAAAAACTTATTTATACAAGGGTTTGAAAAATGTGCAAGGCAGGCCACACACACACCCATCAAGTTTTCGTTTCATCCAACACCCGCATACAAACACACACACACACACAACCATATTCATATGTAAATTAGTTTCAAAGTTTTGTCGATTGAATTAATTCAAATCAGCATGTGGAAAATTCAAACAGAAAAGTTTAGACTAATTTTTGTAGACGATTTGCGTCGAAAATGATTTACACCACACAGAGACACACACACACACACAACATAAACATTAACATATATAATGCATATTCGGATAAGTCTGAGCGCGTGAGTGATATTGTGTTTAGGGTGCTGCAAAAATAAATAAGCAAGCAAACGGAGAATAACAAAGAAAATTACAATTAAAATATATCTTGATTCGGAGAAAGTCAGAAAGTGGATTCATATATTTGTATTTTATTGTAGTTATGCTGCTTTCAATGTATGCGTGTTTCAAATACCCCAAAAACAAACAAAAATTGTTTAAAATTTGTTAGAATAAGGAAATAAATGTTAACAATTTATATAAGAAAACAGAAGATTTAATTTCAGTTGGGAAGTGACATGGTAGAGTTTTCAAGAAACACGATTTTAAATGTTTGAGATTATTAATATGTCGATGTTTTCTCAGCTCTATTGTTTAGTCACAAAAAAGATGAGACAACCGCAAGAATTTAAAATGATAAGCCCGTTAATTAACAATTACCAACAACCTGAATAGAACATTTCAAAGTTCTCAGAATACAAGTTCAAAAACTAGTAATTTAATTTATTTTTGTTCTGCATAAAATAATTTTCAAAATTTAAGTCCATTGCATATTGCCGTCCCATAGAAAATTTAACAAGTAATTTTTATAACAATTACAACTCATCAACTTGAGGCATTGCGGTTTCAAATAATATTTGGTTAATTAATTTGATATTTCCTTTTTTGATACAAACTTAGAAGAGTTCAAAAACAACAAAAAATCAAATTCAAAGATAAAATACATTTAACAAAAGTGCTCTTTTGAAAAATCAGTGAAACAAGAGTTAAAAATATATATTTACATTAAAACACTAAATAAATAGAGTTGGGTAAAAAATATGAATCAGGTCAAAGGTACAAAAAGAAAAATGGAAAAAGCAAGTACAGCATACAAGGAAACCACAACTTTTGTATGGTATTTACAACAGGACTGCAAAGGCAAAGCGAATTAAAACCTAAACAAAGCTTGAAAACCAAATCAAACTGAATTCTTACTTAAAATATTGAATATACCCAGTAAATGTACTTAAATTCAAGTAGTTTTTTATGACCTCTAAATGTGCTTAACAACTATATGCAGGACTATATACCTACCCAACAATATACTACTTATATACAAGATTACTGTTTATGTTTATGTTCAAACTACAAACCTAATATTATCTTCTATATAGATATAGATACTGGATAAATCGAAACACACAACAACTAAGACATTATCTGTATGCGTACTTAAAGTGGTAGATAATTGGTTTAGGTATTAATGATTTCATAATTTATAAATGCGATTGCGAGTCGGAAAACGAGATGTGTCATAATAAATAACGGTACACCAACGCTCAATGAATGTTTTTTACTAATAGTAGGCTCTTTTGATTTACTCCTGTCAGTTGACAAACCAGAAAACGTAAAACCTATTAAATTGTGCTGTTCGATTCGACAACGTTTCCAAATTCCTGGCCCTGCCTAAAATATTGTGTATATTTTCTTTTTAACTCTTAGCGCGCTTACATAACGACAATGAGTGAACCGGAGGAAAAGGTGAGTGCCAAAACTTAAAGAATTCCGTTTGCTTCTGTTTGCACTAAATAATATGGATGACGATTAATAAACACAAAGGATTTAAAGGGGGCATTAAAATTCATAGCAAGGAGATAATTTTAAAATACCGCTATAACGCGCCAAGAAATTTCTCAAAATTGCGTCGCGATATATCGATATCTTTTGGACTTTTTGTCACATATCGCGAAAAGTCCATCACTAAGCTCACGAGGAGTAGCACGTCTAAAAATCAATTTTATTGAAATTGAAGCGACCGCGAACGAGAATTCCTCCAAAGCTCAATTAAATGCAAGTGCAAACTGCATTTTGCGAGCGATTTCGGTGATACGAGAATTGGGTGTTCTTTCAAAGGGTTGCTTAATAGCTGAGCCCTCGATTTCCGACCGTGTGCGTTGATTCAAAGCCGCAAAAGTGGATACCGAAACAGTGAAAATCGAGGATTTGATGGACTCTGATCCTGAAATCGAGTTCATTGAAAAGGATAGCGGGATGTCATCGTTGGGTGGCAGCAAAGACGAAACGCCCGAGCGGCGGGCAGTGGCTGCTGTAAGTAAAAACGTGGGCCTCTCGTAACCCTCTGGATCCCCATACCCCTCGACTCCTACGCTTTCTTATCGTGCTCACGTAATTGTCGGTCAATCGGAGCAGTGGTCACACAAAACCGAATCACTGATACCCTGTATTAATCTTCTTGTTTTTTTCTTTTTGCAGACTACAAATGAGCCACAGGGCGAGAACTACGATGATGTAAGTGGACCCTGTTTGTAAACACAACACGCAATCTAACCTCAAATTTGGGGAAGCAAAAGATTACCATAAGGATCTTTAAAGGGGTTTTAGTGAAAGGACTTAACTAAGGAGATACTTACCTTGAATAGAGTTTATTTAGTTCTCATTTATAAATTGAAGACATCTTATTGGGATCAGTACTGATTCAGCTGTTAACTAAAACGTGCATTTGGTACAGAATTTAATATTCCGTTTGTTTAAGCTCCAATGTTCCAAACCCAAATTCTGTTACAATATGTTGATAAATCCATTGACTCATCAGAATTTCATTGAATGCACCTAAAGTTAAAAGTTTGGGTTAATTTCGTTCCTTATTTTCGATAATTTATTCACTTTACCTATCTTGTTTTTAAATCCAGGAACCTGATGAGACGGCGGCCGAGCGATTCTGGGGCCTGACGGAGATGTTCCCCGAGCCACTGCGCAAAGCGGTAGGTGCCGTGAGCAGTGCTACTGTGAACGGCGTCAAGGGATTCTACACGTTCTCGTGCAACGCCAGCTGGATATTCTTCACCAGCTCGGTCATCCTGTTCGCACCGGTCATCTTCGAGACGGAGCGCGCCCAGATGGAGGAGCTGCAGAGGTCGCAGCAGAAGCAGGTGCTCCTGGGACCCAGCAGCGCGATGGGACCCGGCGGATCCTCGCCCAGTTTACCCTTGATTCGTTAACCGAGAGAAATACCCTACCACATACGCATATTAGATCTACGATAACCGGCAGCGGAACTCCGGAAATTGCCACACGTTAGCTTAAGTTTGTCGATACCAATCAATCCCAGTCGAAATCGAGAAGTAGAGGACGTCTCAAATGGCCGAGAAGGTAATAGAACCAGCGGTTCCCCTAAAAGCAGCCACCCATCAAATGCCACTCCATAGCCCAGCATTTACACGTTTACACTCGAGGAACTCCAGGCCCCGAAAAAAGGAGACGTCCCCTTCAATCGAAACGAGCAGTTGCAAAACTTCAGATAGGTGTTAGCATTGTAGTTGGCGTACAGTGTATAAACAAAGCAACCACTACGGTTTAAACCAATTAATAAAAATACGTTTATTAATAGTTAAAAGTCGAAATGCTGAGCTCAATTTTGCATACCTGCTGCTTGGTTTTTTGCAGTTGTTTATAAGAGATTTTAATTTAAGGACTCCCAAGATATTCCCTAGGAATTGGATGGTCCGTGAAGTAACGTCGGAATTCCCCAGCATACTTGTTTCTCAAGTTCCTCTCGCCAAATTCGTTAAATCTTTGAGCCAGAAAGACATACACATCCAAAACTTTGGCATGAGCAGAAAGCTTCTTGAAGGACTGTGCGGCTCGCTCTAGGATTTCCAGCGACTTGAGTAGCTGCGCCTTTCTCTGCTCCACATTGTTTTGACTGATGGCTAGCAGGCAGCGAACGAACACAAAATCCGTTTTGGCTCGTTCGTAGAGGCCACCATTTATGTGAATATCGTGCATGCAGCGCTTGATGGCCTGGTAGGCCTTCTGTGGCATCCCGAGAAGCAGCAACTGTTGGGCCAGCAGGAGGTCCACCAATGCCAACTCATAGTCCATCTGTGAGTCAGCCATGTCCTCGGCCACGCGAAGCAGAAGCATCGTTGTTTCACTTGAAAAGCGGCCATCCGCCATGCCACAATAGCCAAGCAGAACCTGAACCCTCATTTTTAGAAGGAAGGGCAGATTATCCTGGGAAGCCAGCTTGTCCAAGAGACGCCTAGCGTTGAAAAACTCTCTTTTGGCCACGTAGATGGAGGCCCTTTGCATTATGGCGTCCGAGGGATCCAGCAAATATAACTGGTCGCAGGCTTTCAATGCATCATGCCAGCGGCATTGGTAAATGCCCGCCTGAATGACGACATGGCACTGACTCACCATCCAGCCCTCGGCACTGGGCAACCGCGGAAAACGCTCCTTCGCACGGTGGAGAAGAACCTTAGACAATTGTGACTCTCCCTGCAATTGAAGCCACAGGGCGTAGCTGGCCAAAGCGCTTCCCAATCCCGCACATCCGTTGCCAAAACGATCCCTGGCCGCCAACAAAACTTGGGAGTACAAAGCAGCCAGTTCGTGTCTTCCATATGCAGACCACACAGCACTCCTTAAAGCCAGAGCCTCCGAAGCGTGGTCCGCAAAGTTGTTGCGATTAGTAAGATTGTCGCTATGCTGCAGAAGATCAAAGAGTCTCAGGGGTTGGTAGCCAGCGACTGTGCCAAGCTTTACAGCGAAATGGAGAGCCAGAGTGTAGTTCTGCAGCAGGGAGCCATCTACTTCGTTGGCCTCTTGCACACTCTTTTGAACAGTGGACAGAGGAAGCTCATCCCTGAGCAGGCAGTACCAAGTATTGGCCAGATTGAGACTCCTTTTATCGCCGTGTTCCTGGGCCAGCATTATACTTTCCCTGAGCGCCGCCAGAGCTTCATCACGATGACCAAATGTGGCATGCAATACTGCTAGATTGACGCAAAAGTACTGATAGCCCTTCTCCTGGCTCATCAGTCTCACGGGACTACGGTCCAAAGCTCTGTGGAGAGCAGAAAGTGCATTATAGTAGTCCCTGACTCTCAACTGGTTCATGTAGCCCAGAAAATAGGGAGTGGTTGAAAGTGGAAGGTCGTGTATTATCTCCTGCACCTTTTTTTGCAGTTCCAATGGTGGCAAAGCCTTTCTCTCATTGGTTTCCAGCAATTCCGACTGTTTGTTGATGAAGAACTTTGCCTGTTTGGGAGCCCATTTGCTAAGAGGATTGCGTTCCTGGGTAATTCGAGCTACGACACCCTCTTTTTCTTTGCTTCAGGATCTTTCGGCTTTTCCGGTACTGGATTTGGAGGAGGGGTCTCTTCCCTGTGAAGAATACCGCCAGCTACTGCCATTCTGGAACCAGAGGCAGCAGCTCTAACTCCTTTTTCGTAGTAGGAGCATATATTCTTGTACATATCCATCATTTCTGGGAAACTTAGGCGCTCAAGGACGACACCTACTCTTCGGACATAAACTCCCACCATGCTGAACTGGCTGATTCCATAGTTTTCGTTTAGGATCTCGTCGATGTTTTGAATCTCCGTAAAGTCAAACAGGGCTTCAATGCTGCCCGCACAGAACTCAGACATGGCTTTTTCGAAGGATTCCAACATGAGGGTGTCCAGTTTGTATTTTCCTGTGGTTAGCAAACTGTGCAACTCATTGTAGGTCTTATCAGCCTCCTGGACGAGCTTGAAAACCAGCATATAGAACATTCGGCGCCGATGGGTGCGCATAGATATGCCAGAATCCAAACAGGACTTCTTATTCTTTGAAAAAAACACAAAATAATTCAATGAAATATAGGTTTTGGAAAATTACAATTTAAGACCACGTACAATAACATATTGTTTGAGCAGAATCAACACAGTTATCTTGTGAGCCGTGGGTGTTTCGATGCGGGGAGGCTCCAGTTTCGATGACGGGTCCAAGGTGTCCAGCTCCTCGAACAGATTCATGGCTATTACAAGGGCCGAATTCCCTTCTTAGGTTTGCCGGCAAAATGTAAACAATTAGTCTTTAGTCGCAGCCAACTTAGCTCGGTTAGAAATGGAAGCCAGTTAGAGGTTCAACAATGTGGCAACCCTGAAAAAGCGCGCAATTTAAACCCAATAAAATACTAACTTTGAATTTCTGTTAAAAATAGATTTATATTATAAGAAAACAATGTTCCATACAATGCCGGCATAAAATATTTAAAACTAACTTTCATTTGTAGTTTTCGAAGTCTTACACCTTACACCTGACGCACCTTTAAATGCGCCAAATAAACAATTACTGATTACACGCTCTCTATCAAACTGCTCATACGATCAAAGTCCAAAAACCGACGAAAATTCCAAAAGCCAAGCGTACGCTTCTCCAATTTGTATTTGCTTTTAATTAACGAAAGCACAAAGTTCATTAGACAACTACCCTGTTTAACGCTAGCCAAAATGTGTAATGTGTTATAGGTAATGTGGAATAGGTAATACAGCGAATGCGTCATGGGGGCATCCGTCCTACAGGACGAACGGAAAGATGGAGCGGCGCTGGCGAGGGTAGTCCTTGAACTCCTTTCTGTAGTTGCGGTGCTTGGCCAGGGCCCACACCGTCATCTGGAAAGCTCCGGCGAAGGCGAACAGATATGCAGCCAGGCAAGAAGTGAGCACGGAAAAGGAGACCCAGGCACCGATCTCATAGGTGTAGTTGGGGCACGAAACCAAGCTGCAGTTGAGAAAGCCAAATTACATACTTGGGCTATAGTTGGAAATAGTATTTACTTACTTGAACAACTTGGTCAGGGGATTGGCATCGGCCACGGGAATCTTGCGCACTTTGGTTCCCGGTGGGCGCAGGTTGCGCAGGGCAATGTGCACTGAAAAATTGCCCAGTTCACAGAGCTGAAAGTCGAAAACGTGGGGTTTTTTTAATGCAGTGGATCAAAATTTGCTTAAAAACAATTATGACAAATTTATAAACAAAAAAGTTGAATTCTTAAGCAAACTAGTGTTTAGATATTGTAATTCAATTATTTTTTGGAAAATGTACAACAAGAGCTTATACCAATGCAAACGAAAATAACACTTTTTAATAAACAATAAACAAAAAGAAAATGCTCTTGTAATAAAAAACCAGCTTTTATTGAAGCTGACTATTTTTGAGTAAAAAACAGTTGGTTCAAAATGCAGAATAGCTTCACACAATCGACACACATAACCCAAATCCATAAACTAAAACCCCAAATACATACGGCAAAGGCCCCGAGCGCAGCCCAAACTGTGCACATGCATGGTGACGTGAACTGCGGATGGTTCACGTGGTAGGACACATAGGCGGTGAATCCCCAATAGTAGGTGCAGTTCTTGAAGAGATTCCTCAGCGGCATGGTGGCGTGAGAGAATCGGTGGACGAAGATCGTCTCCAGCAGCCGCTTCACATAGTGGACCGTGTAGCAGCCGGCGGCAATGCTGAATGAAAAGAAGAAAAGAAAGCGGGTTACTAGGTTGAGCCACCATCCAAAGTTCGTGGATAATTATGCAGAGCCGTTGCGTTTTAGTTTGCATAAGCGACGAGGTCGATTAGGTCGAAAATCGAAAGATTTCAGCGACTTTCTAATATACTCACTGGGTTGTTAGGGAAATTGGCAAAGTGGCCGATTTTCCATAGATTAGCTCAGGCCGGAAGTAGAAAATCAGGTAGACGATCAGGGGACCGGCGTATTCTGCCAGAAAAACTGTCTTCCAACCGATCTGCGGACCCAGATCCTTAACGTAGACCTTATCACCGGAGCGCAGGGACAGAGTCTCCAGAGTATCCGTGTCCTTCAGGCTCTTGCCTTTCAACTCCAGCCGCAGCGATTGGCGGTTGGCATTCGGAGTCTGCTTCAAGCTCTTGTGGATAAGGGCGCGCAAATCCGAGATGGGCGTGGCGGCGGAGGGCACCTTCACCTTGCCATAGGGTTTGCTGTTCTTCGCGTTCACTATCTCGAGCTCCATTTTGCGTGAGGCGCTATTGAAATCTGTACTGCCAAAATCGAACTGGAAAATTGCCGATAGCAGGTGGGCCGTAGTGTGACCGTGTCTTGGTGGTCAAATAACCTTATTGGAGCTTTCTTGGCCACACAGTCAGAGATTTTAAAATAATAATTTAATTTTATTTTAGTGTTTTTTTGAGCCTATATACAGGATCATAATAATCTGGAGCTGATAAAAATTTATTTGATTTGTAAGCAGTCGTTGTCTCAACACTCAGCACATCACACTCTGAAAACACCTTATATCACACACAAAATTCCTTCAAAATTTTCCAGTCAAGCTGCAAACTTCAAAATTATTACCAGTGAAGAAGACAGAGCCTTAAAAAACACAGTATAGAAGTAAAAATATATATATAAGTTTTCGGTAATTGTGAATCAAAGTAGCTGGGAATTTTATGTAAACATTAAGGTAGGTTGTCTTGGCAAATGATTTTATTCAGCCGGCGAAGTCAGTACGATATCGAGGTCTCGTTTTAAAATTGTCTTTAAAATATATAACCATTTCCTATTGTGGTGAGTTCACAAAAAAAGTTTAAAAAATATTTGAAGGAAAGGAAATTTGGATTTAAAATTATAAAACTCTTCCGATAATTCATTTCAGTGTATTTTGGGGAAAGTTGCCATTTTTTAGTGGGTTTTTTTTGGTGCACAAGGGTATAAAAGAGCCGTCCGCGAACGGTCCCATTTCAAAATCGTTGAAAAAGTGCAGCAGAAAGAACAAGCGTAAATAAAATCGCAGCTAACCAAAAAATAATAATTATATAGTTTATTGGCGATTAGATTAAAATAAAAGAGCACCCTCCAAAGCAGCAAGAAAAAGTAAGTATGAACCCCATTTTTTTTTTTAATTATAGAGGGGCAGTGAAAAGTTTGAGAAAAAAAACTGCAGTTCAAGGTTCTTGTTAGCCATTTTGATTTTTTTTTCTTATTTAACCCTCTGCGTAATAGAAAAATTACAAATTGGCAGACACGCATTACATTATTGCCCGTTATTTGGCAAAACAACCAATCTATAAATATAACTGCGTATTTGTTTTTTCGCCAAGATTTATTGGCAAATTGTGAAATTCGCAGTGACGCCATTGAAAGTTCGAGAAGTCACCTACACAAGCACGCATTTGTGTGTGTTGACCTTTGGTTAACGAACTTCTCGCAAAATCCAAGGCTTTGGTTAACTAATTTTGTGATATTTAAGCTGAAAAAACGCCATTTATATAAAGCCACGACTGAAAATTCAATTTAGTTGCAAAGCTATGACGTCATCGGTATACATACGTGAAAAGTGTATGTATGCATTTTGAACTGCGTATACATGCACACGCACACACCACCAAAAAAGTGACGAAGCAATGAAACAAAGGTTTCTAAATTTCCCTTTGTTCAATCTTTCTTCTTTTCCGTATTGGTAGAAAGGGGAAGAAACGAAAAAAAAAAACTAGACGAAAAAAGAAGGCGTTGATAAATTTCTATTCCTATTTTAATTGATTCGTTGACAAATTGAATCAGTTGTGTAATTTCAAAGCAACTGCTCAGATCTGTTTTATACTGATTTTCCATCTTTCGATTTTCTACTCGCAGAATAATCCAAAATGCAGATCTTTGTGAAGACCTTGACTGGAAAAACCATTACCCTGGAGGTTGAGCCCTCCGATACGATCGAGAATGTGAAAGCCAAAATTCAGGACAAGGAGGGAATTCCTCCAGATCAGCAGCGTCTGATCTTCGCCGGCAAGCAGCTTGAGGACGGTCGTACTTTGTCCGACTACAACATCCAGAAGGAGTCAACCCTCCACTTGGTCTTGCGTCTCCGTGGTGGTATGCAGATCTTCGTGAAGACCCTCACCGGAAAGACCATCACTCTGGAGGTGGAGCCATCGGACACCATCGAGAATGTGAAGGCCAAGATTCAAGATAAGGAGGGAATTCCTCCAGATCAGCAGCGTCTGATTTTCGCCGGCAAGCAGCTTGAGGACGGTCGTACTTTGTCCGACTACAACATCCAAAAGGAATCAACCCTCCACTTGGTCTTGCGTCTCCGTGGTGGCATGCAGATCTTCGTGAAGACCCTGACCGGAAAGACCATCACTCTGGAGGTGGAGCCATCGGACACCATCGAGAATGTGAAAGCCAAAATTCAGGACAAGGAGGGAATTCCTCCAGATCAGCAGCGTCTGATCTTCGCCGGCAAGCAGCTTGAGGACGGTCGTACTTTGTCCGACTACAACATCCAGAAGGAGTCAACCCTCCACTTGGTCTTGCGTCTCCGTGGTGGTATGCAGATCTTCGTGAAGACCCTCACCGGAAAGACCATCACTCTGGAGGTGGAGCCATCGGACACCATCGAGAATGTGAAGGCCAAGATTCAAGATAAGGAGGGAATTCCTCCAGATCAGCAGCGTCTGATCTTCGCCGGCAAGCAGCTTGAGGACGGTCGTACTTTGTCCGACTACAACATCCAGAAGGAATCAACCCTCCACTTGGTCTTGCGTCTCCGTGGTGGCATGCAGATCTTCGTGAAGACCCTGACTGGAAAGACCATCACTCTGGAGGTGGAGCCATCGGACACTATCGAGAATGTAAAGGCCAAAATCCAGGACAAGGAGGGAATTCCTCCAGATCAGCAGCGTCTGATCTTCGCCGGCAAGCAGCTTGAAGATGGGCGCACTCTGTCTGATTACAATATCCAGAAGGAGTCTACTTTGCATTTGGTGCTCCGTCTGCGCGGAGGAATGCAGATCTTCGTGAAGACCCTGACCGGAAAGACCATCACTCTGGAGGTGGAGCCATCGGACACCATCGAGAATGTGAAGGCCAAGATTCAAGATAAGGAGGGAATTCCTCCAGATCAGCAGCGTCTGATCTTCGCCGGCAAGCAGCTTGAAGATGGACGCACTTTGTCCGATTACAACATCCAGAAGGAGTCAACCCTCCACTTGGTCTTGCGTCTCCGTGGTGGCATGCAGATCTTCGTGAAGACCCTCACCGGAAAGACCATCACTCTGGAGGTGGAGCCATCGGACACTATTGAGAACGTAAAGGCCAAAATCCAGGACAAGGAGGGAATCCCTCCAGATCAGCAGCGTCTGATCTTTGCCGGCAAGCAGCTTGAAGATGGACGCACTCTGTCTGATTACAATATCCAGAAGGAGTCTACTTTGCATTTGGTGCTCCGTCTGCGCGGAGGAATGCAGATCTTCGTGAAGACCCTCACCGGAAAGACCATCACTCTGGAGGTGGAGCCATCGGACACTATTGAGAACGTAAAGGCCAAAATCCAGGACAAGGAGGGAATCCCTCCAGATCAGCAGCGTTTGATTTTCGCCGGCAAGCAACTGGAGGACGGACGCACTTTGTCCGATTACAACATCCAGAAGGAATCGACCCTCCACTTGGTCTTGCGTCTCCGTGGTGGCATGCAGATCTTCGTGAAGACCCTCACCGGAAAGACCATCACTCTGGAGGTGGAGCCATCGGACACCATCGAGAATGTGAAGGCCAAAATCCAGGACAAGGAGGGAATTCCTCCAGATCAGCAGCGTCTGATCTTCGCCGGCAAGCAGCTTGAAGATGGACGCACTTTGTCCGATTACAACATCCAGAAGGAGTCAACCCTCCACTTGGTCTTGCGTCTCCGTGGTGGCATGCAGATCTTCGTGAAGACCCTTACCGGAAAAACCATCACTCTGGAGGTAGAGCCGTCGGACACTATTGAGAACGTGAAGGCCAAAATCCAGGACAAGGAGGGAATCCCTCCAGATCAGCAGCGTTTGATTTTCGCCGGCAAGCAACTGGAGGACGGTCGCACTTTGTCCGATTACAACATCCAGAAGGAGTCTACTTTGCACTTGGTGCTCCGTCTCCGCGGAGGAGTTCAGGCTTAAACTAAATACATTTCCAAATAAACACGGCTCCTTAGCACTCACTTTACCCGATACTCTTTTTAAAACAAGATAAAGCAATAGACGACAACGACCATGGCCCTTTAATTTTGGAAAGGAGGCTAAATTCTAAATTTTAGTACAGACCAAGATATTACTGCTTTAGTTATTACTTCTTAAATATATCTAAATTTTATTTTCAAATGCATAATACACCATTCAAATAAATTAGAGATTGTTCGAAATTTAGTTTGGTTGTTTATTTTGGGACGGAGAATATTCGATGCAGGCGCCTTGAATAAAAATAAATACCGAAAATACTGAATTTTGCTGCAGCCCTGGTCAACTAGCAAGGAGGCGTTAGTTAATTTTTATTATTTACCTCTTGCCAAAAAGTTGTTGATAGCTTGTCGAAAAATGGCTAAATTACTTCAACGAGTAGAAATTACGCTGCGTAGTTTTTATATATTTAATTCAAAGTTCGGTGAACAAGAAGGCGAAGTGGGTTGTATAAACTAATTTCGATGAAACGCCCCTTTATGACTAATTTTTTGCAGGAACACAAGAAAGTTTTGTTTTACCATCCAAAAGATATTGAATTAAATACGAAAATCAAGGATGTGGGCCTCAGTGAGGCCATTATAAGGTTTACAGGGTAGTTATGTGACTTCTACATTTGGGAAAATGGAGCAATAGTAATGTTTTGTCGTTTTTCCAGAACTTTTACCTCCGAAGATGATTGTCAAGCGCTTCATACCCAGAAAACCACCCAACTCTTTTACCAACCCGAGCCAGGTTATTGGTTAGTTTTGGTTTTAAATGTTCCTAAGGAAGTACGTTTAAAGGAGGGCGTGGAGGTGGCCGAGTACAAGGGCGCAGAGATCTCCGACAGGATTTACAGAGCCATTCTAAGACAGTGCTATCAAATGTTTCGCTTCCGCTATGGAAGTTTCTCCTCCTTTGGATTTGAAGAGCCCTATCCAGAGAAGCGAAGGGTTCTGCTTTGCCATGAGCTCCAGAGGTTCTACGATCAACACTTGACTAACTTAAAGGATCCCTCGAATTGTGATATTATCGACATGCTGCAATCGATACAATATCTTCCTTTGGACAAATCACTGTTTTTAAGAGCCCAGAACTTTGGGATGCTGGGTCAGACCTTTCCCGCCATTAAGGAGAGCATCATGTTCTACCAAGAGCAGGTTCTTTGTGGTGGAAAACTAAGTCCAGAGGATTTGCATAGCTTGCACTCATATGTGGTACAGGAAGTGTTAAAATTGGAAGCCAGCAGCTCGTCCATTGCCGTGAGTCCTTCGCTTAAAAGGAGTATCAGTGAATGTCAGGTGGGAGGGTTCGTAAGGAGTCAGCAGAAAGGCGAGGAGGATAGTCAAGAGTTGGATAACCTGGAGGATCCTCTAAAGGTTTATGTCACCCTGGAGGAACAAGCTAGGCCATATTATCTGCTCATATATCGCGCTCTGCACATAACTTTTTGCCTGTTTTTGAATGGTAAGTTTGCAAACCCTGTGTGGCTTGGGGTTAATTGTGGTATATTCCTTTTAGCTGACCAACCGGCCCCAGAACAAGAACTTTACGATGAACTGCATGCCTATATGGCTCCGCAACTGACTGCTCTAGCCCGGGATATATCCAGCGAGCTGACTAAGGAGGCGGCGGGTGCTGCGGGTCAGGATAACTCTACCAGCAGCAATGAAGCGGCACCGAAATACTTGTTTATTAACGAGCAGAGCCTGCAACATCATACAAACCTACAAAGGCATCTGCCTCAAGGATTGCCCCGCAATGTCCTTAGTATCATAGCGGATCTGGCCAATTCCAATGGCAAACAGCAGGATTTGGAAAATTCACCGGCAGAGGAACTCCAGGTTAAGACCACCAACGACTATTGGATTGTAAAGAGGCGCTGTAACTACAGGCAGTACTATGTGATCCTATGCAATAGCAAGGCCACCTTGCTAGATGTCACCCAGGAAGCGAGACGGATTTTCGAGCAGGAGCTCACAGATGATGTATTCTTTGACAAATAAAGAGAAGGATCAGATATAGAATGGGAGTGCGCCAATTGTGGGGTCTTTGCTCGTTTCCCTGCCAGCAAAATCGGCAAGTGGATCGGGCATCCGAATTTGGATTTCAAGCCAGCACCGCCCCCGAATCGCTGGCATCGTTATAAACACTGTTGGATGAAGAGGAGCTCGTGGTCGTGGTGACTCCGTTTTGGGATTTGCTGATTTTAACGATATATATTCGACGGTTAGACATGCAGATGCTGTAGTAGTGCTGCTCGTAGTCGATAGTGATCCTTTCGCAGCTGGAGTTCGGCATAAAGGTTTCGTCGATACTGAAAACGGATTTTCATATTAAAGAGTCTTTAAAACCCTTTGTTCTAAGCACACACCTTTCTGTCAAGTTTAGCAGACCCATTATCACTTCTGCACTGTGTTCGTCGTTTTTTAGCTCTCCACCTGATTCAAGAACTGCTCCATCATCTTTAAGTATCAGGTAGCCAATTTGATTAGGCACAATTAACTTTTCCTTGTCCATTTTCAATATTTATTTATCTTTTGTACCCACACCCCTGGTTTTAGAGTTACCAGAGTGCTTATGCGCAGTTACAGCAAACAACAAAATACTAAAAATCAAGGAAGACCTAATCAGGTGCTACCAACAGACCGACAGTGTTGTAAATCGATCCCTTGCGCGCCACCGATTCAAATTTAAAAATTTTGATACCAGTATAGCAAGCGCAGACCTTACATTTTATTGTATTTTAAGTATTTTAAGGTCTCATTTATGTGATATGTTAAACAGATATGTTACAACTTCGCACTTTTATTTGATATTTCTTTTACGTTTTTTTATGCTACAAAACAAGAAATCTTAGTACATTGCCAGTTTACTGAAATTAAGGCATATATAGTTCATTTTTCTTAGGTTTAAAATTAATAAAGTTAAATTTTCGTTGCTATTTAATTTTAACGCCAATTATAACCAGAGCCTGGATGTGGATCAAACTTAAGCCTCCTCCTTGGTTTTGCTTCTGTAGCCCAGAGGTTAGAGTCCGCGCCCGCTGTTCGGAAGTCTCGAGTTCGAATCCTGCCAACGATTTTCTTTATATATCTAAAATTCCTTTTCTTCATTGCCAATCTTGTTTTTAAGTGCTCAAGTGGATCACGCGATTTACGCGGCTTTTAGATTTAGTTCTACACAAAAATAGTTTATGTATTTTCCGGCAAACAATAGTACCGGCTACGTTTAACCGATACTGTCTCTCCTTTTTGGGATATAGACGTATTATTTGCGGTTTGTTATATGTGTTAATATGCCCCTCGATCCTTGTCCGTTGGCTATCTAAAATAGTATCTCTTCTATAACCATATCACACTCGGGTTTGCAATACAGAAACTGTTGTAAAATTGCAAGCAAGACACCTGAACGGGAAGTTCCAAAAAATCCAATCCTCTGCATTTACTTAACACTGTCCATCGGGAGACTCTGTTAGGATATGCTTATAGCCATTGCTGCCCAAATACATGTGCTCACGCTGGAATCGATAGGGTATCTGAAAGATAGCTTTTAGATTTACGTGGCAAAAAGATATAGATGTCAACTTACTGCTCCGGGAGCTGGACAAGGTATGGCCACAGTGGCAATCTCGCGCAGTTTGTTCATGGTTCGCAAACTCTGGTAGAAGCTGTGCATCACATACCACTTGCAGTAATCCATGCAGATCAAGGCATAGCAGATGATAACTGAAAGATATTGAAAGATTATTAAAAGTCTAAATGATATTATTCGATTCAAACTCACAATAGGGCACTTGTCCACCCAGCAGTTGTACAATTTTCGTATCTCTTAGCATGAAAACCAGAGCTCCGAGGCCCACCATCAATAGGAACTCTACGACCAGCCAGGGCATAATTAACCCCGGCTTATTCTTGTAGACCCCAAAGAACAGGGATATGGCACTCAGGGCGTAGGTTCCAGCCACTCCAGCCATTATATAAAGCAGATTCTCCGTGGCAGCCGCCAATTGGGCAGCGGTTTGTAGTCGAAGATCGTTGTGGAACGGCGACATGTTGTAGAAGCCATTGTCCTTCTGGTCCAGGATGTCCAGCTCCAGGACCTGGCACATCTGTTCGGCATGTGCCAGTCCGAGAAGTACCAAAAATAGGGCGCAGTGCGAGATCAACTGTTGGACAGAATAAATACAATAACAGACTTAATAGTTGAATAAGTTCTTGCTGGTATTTAAATATAAACAATTTGATTAAATAATATACGATTACATTAAAAAATATAAAAAGACTGCTTTGAAACAAATTTGAAATAAATACAATTCATATAACCTTTCAAAACATATGATGTTTACGTAAACCAGAACAGCCCAGTGATCTGCCAAAGCTCCAACCCCTTTTCGCAAGCTGTATTTACAATTCCCAACTGGTAAAAGCTGCTTTTGGCATGACTCCCCCTGTGTGTCTCCATCAAGCTTTAAAAGGGCGCTCGTCCTGGCACGTTCTCCGTTACAGAGCCAAAGTGCAGACGCATTGCGCCGCAGGAGCATCTCCTTCGCTCCGCTCCTGGGCTTCCAGGGACGGGCGGGGGCGAGCGTTCCATTGCCGCCTTCGATGGCTCCTTGCGCGCCCAGTGGGGTATGGCTTTGCATATCCAGTGCGTAATTTTTGTCCTGGGGCCGCGGCTGCACATTTTGGATTGCTTGGGGAGCCCACTCCCCTTGCGTGCCTGTGCGCTGCGCCCCGCCTTATAAATCCATCCCAGAGGATTATATAACCCAGGCTTTGAGATGTTTTGTTTACTCGACGGTTTCTTGATATTTTATATGAATAATAACTTTAATTGTTGGAATGTTCTTTAACATTTGAAGAAAACATAGCACTCTGAGCTGGTTACTTTACACTTGTTTTAGTTTGCTTGCAACAAACTATAGTTTTTATATTGTATACTACATAGTAATGCACTCACCAATTGATAGATACTCGTAAGCAGGGCCGTGGTCCTCAGGTTCTTGGGGGATACGGGAGCCATCAGCATGTCCCAGCCGCGACGACAGCAGTTTCGCCACTTGCATCCTCCGGCGGACGAGCCGCTGACCGTCGGCAGCAACATTTTATTGGAGTTCTTCCGTTTTTCCCCAATCAATTTATGGATTTTTCCCGCTTTCAGCTAATCAAAGAGCGACGCAACTGTTCCGCGGCTGTTTCGTCATGCAATTGACTTGGGGACCTCGGCGAAGGTGGCAAAGAGTAAAGGGCCGACACCCACGCAACCCAAACTTTTGTGGAGCTTTTCCTCTGGGTTGGGTGGAAACTGCACTTGCGAATTAATCAACAAAAACTATATGGATAAAACAACGCTGAGTGCCAAGGTCTGCGGAATGTTTTGACTCGTTGAAAAGCTCTTACTGTGTTTTGTTTGGCTTTCTGTAGTTAGGCGTGTTAACTATTACTTACAGTTTGTTCTTTCATGAGAAATAAAAATAAAAATTAAATTAAATTAAAATACGAGTATTCTGGAATTGGTATTTAAAATGCTTCTTATAACTAAGTCTATAAAATAACGATTTGGAAGTGAGATAATTTTAAAACTCTGTGGTTTATTCAGGTACACAAATAATTAAATTTTTTTTTATTTAATCTTCGTACGTTATAATTAATAAAGGTTGAATTTAAGGGTATTTAAATTGCAGGCTCGACCCTACCGGCAATCTTTTTGGGGTTGTTTTCCTCTTGAAACCGCGCAGATGTTTATCGCCCCCATCAGTGGAGCTTTATTTGGCTTTTGGGAGCTTCCGCCAGAGTTGCCACTGCCATCCGCAGCCCGGGCAATTAAAGTTGGCTTGGGACTTCCTCCTTCGAACCGCTGGCCCGTTGCTATGATAAATTTTTGCATTTTAAAAGTCAATTTACACTGGAACTATAAAAATGTAACATAAATTCTGCCAAAGCAGGCCATAAAACTGCGGCCAGTCGGCGCGGAAAGAGAATCAAAGTCGTGTCGATGCCACTGGGCAACCGTTCAGCGAACCGAGGAGCCCGTCATCACCATCGTGATCTTCGGGGGAGCCGGACTTTGTGGCGCTCCCTTGGAGTTGGAGTTGGGAGCTACTTGTGGGCCTAATTGATTGTTTTTCTACGAGCTCGGAGCCCCGAAAACTCCTGGCGAGGATCGGGGACTGGGATCCACTTGGGCTCTGGACTTTGGGACCTCTGGGATCATCTCACAATGTTGGTTGGGAAAGCGAAAACGAAACGAAACGATGATGAAGACCTCAGGGGCAATATATGGCCGAGCGGCTTGTTATCATTGGGCGTGTTTTATTAACTTTTAAGCTGCCATGCACGCGAGGGGCCATAAAAAGTGCAACTGGCGGTGGCTCCGCAACTGCAAAACCGCAAAACTGCAAAAGTCAATTAAAAATTTTTTACATTTGTTTGCACACACAGGAACGAAAGAGTTTCTTTCGGCTCCTCCATCCTGGCGCGATAATCATAACTGCAAAAAAGTAAGAAAACTACGCGCAGGCGTCGCCCGTCCATAATTTATGGCCAAAAAGTGGAGACGAGGGGCAGGGGGCTTGGAGCACAGGTGATCCCGGCAAGCTGGTGTATTGAAATATCATCTTGCAACCATTTGCCGTTCAATTTGCGTTCGCAACGCTCTTTTGATTGGTTTTTCCAGCCCATCCCCCGCCCGCCCGCTCGCGATCCGCGCGATTCGACTACAAATTGATTGCCTTAAAGTAACTTGTAAAACGCATCTAAGAGATGCACACCAAAAAATGCTAAGGGGGTTCTACAGCTGTTTCATTGGTAAAATAACATATTATTAATTTATTTATCATGTGAAGAATCCACGGTTTATTGACTTCAAAGTAAAGATTTTTTACGAAAGAATGTATCCGCCAATTTAATAACAAGCGAAGTATAATTTTACGTCAATGAGTTACCTACTCTTAAAATTCTTAAATAATTTGTAAATTCTTAAATAATTTAATAATAATTCTTAAATAAATTTCAAATGTGTAAGGTATGTATAGTTCCTTCCTGTGCTTAAAAAAAATGTCTTTTTTATTTCACAACTTGTAAATACTTGTTTTTTTCCGTGTTAGCTTCCCCTGGAGTTCCTCTGCTGTCTTTGCCGCTTCCTGGGCTCCTCTTTCAGCCAAAAACAGAAGCAACATTACAAATGTGTGGCGTTATTGCCACGGGGGAGGAGTCAGGAGTCGGGAGTCAAGAGTTGGATGTTGGAAGTTAGGAGTCAGGAGCATCGACTTCTTTTTGATTAAAAAAGGAAAAAGCGGGAGAGCAGGAGATTCAGTTGGGGAGGGAGTTGGATTGGGAGTCGGATGGAAGTTGTGGCTGCGGACTGTCTTGCCTAAAAGCAATCGATGTTGTTAACAAGCATTTCAGCGCATGACAATTGGCATGCACACCTCCGGGCCATTAATATGCAACCGATGCTGACACATTTGGAGCTCAGCTGAGCAACTCCTGCAACTCCTGTCATCCGGCAACTATTGTGGAGTGGGGAATGGGAATGGGAATGGGAATGGGAATGGGAATGGGGCCTCAGTTATTTAATCACAGAAAATCTTACGAGCATAAATAACATTTCCCCGACTTATTTGCACAATTTGTTTGCCTGTTTTGACAGTCGGGTTTGCAGGCATTTTCGATTTGAATGCCTTCGATGTAATAGCAAGCTGCAGGTTTTCTTTTGGGAGGGGTACTGAAATAGATGTGGTATGCAATTGCATAAACATTTATAGATGGTTTAAAGGGTTCGGAAAGTAATTATAAAAAAAAGGTTCTCGTTGGGTGGATCCCTACAAATAACTTGTAAACTTCTTAAGAATGTGGATATATAAATACATTTTTTGTTATTGTAACATTGCTCTTTAAATCCCCTAATAAATTGCATGTCCTATTCCATATTTTGGTGGGTGAACTCCCCTCCTATCAGTTACATAATTTCGCTAAGCTTTTGGCACCTCTCGTCGAATCAAATCCCCATCATTGTCACGTTTTTGGATTCGCATGCAGATGTCAAATATCAATTGTCGTACATGTTTGCGTGGGCCAAATAAAGAAGGGGCTTTTCGGGAATCGCCCTCACGAGCAGAAATGTATTGTCATCTCGACGTTTTGGGATACATTTCCACATCGCTGGCTTGTGTCGCGGATTTTTGTGGTGGCGCAGTGAAGAAGATGTTGCCAGTGGCGGTTAAACATGCACCCCCATCGGAAGAGCAGCAGCAACACGCACAGCAGCAACATCACTCCCCGCAGCAACATCAGTTCGGAAAGGCCTCACTCACTCGAGTCTCAAGGGTGTGTTCAATTGTGTCAATTTAACGCCTTTTACGGCCCACCAACCTCGAACATTTCACCCCCTCCCCCGAAACCACAAAGGCCCCCTTTTTACCCATGGAAAACCTCCTCCTCCACCGTTGCACGTTGGGCATATTAATTATTGCACGGCAACGGTTTCAAATAGATCGCTGCCGCCGATGTTTAGCCCACTCGATTTGCCAGCAGTGTTAATTATGCCTCCGATCCGACGGGTTTCATCTGGGATAACTGGGATATCTGGGATATTTGCCAACAGCATGCTCGCTTTACGCCGGCCAAACACGATTATTAGTAGTTGCCTGTCTAAATATTGGAAATTGTCAATGCGCCAGCAACGCTGCTTAAATGGTTTATGGACATGTGCAGCCGGCGAAGGACGAGGACTCGTCGAAGGATGCACATCGGAATTGCTGGATTGCTGGCAAGGATGAAGGAAGCTTCTCCGTTGCAGATGTGGGCGGTGCTCTGCTAACAGCAATTGTAATTAAATTGCTCGATGCACAGGCATTCACAGTTTAACATTGTAAATATATCTGTTTCAATAGATTTTCAAAGGAGTTTCCAAACTAATAACAGAGAAAATCAGACTAAATATTATATTTTACATATTTTATCTGACTCTCATGCTTAATAATATTAACGTGCTACCCAAAAGGACTCGAGGCGAAACCTAATTAGCATTAGGTTAAACCTACATTGTTATGAACATCTGAAATCCCAAGAAAGGCTTTTTCTACTTCCCTTGGGCTTCTATTACTATCATTATTCCTTCGACACTACCAGCTAAACCCTTGCCTTAAATTGAGCAATATTTAAACAAAAACTGCCCACTGGCCAAATGCAATCAGAGCTTCCAGGAGTCCTGAAACCCCTGGAAAAGCAGAGAACTCATAGGCTTAAAGACGCAACCTGCTGGCAGGAGCCAAAGCAGTCGCGCTTGCCTTGGAAATATCCTTGATATCATTTAGTCAACTGGAAAAAATTCAATCAGCATACTTGGCAAATATTCAACAGCGCGCTGGATGTGGATGTGGATGTCGATGACGATTGTTTGACTGAGTGAGCAGCCCAGGGGTGGGCGGGGCTCGCTAAGGGAGGGGGGTTCGCTGCATAAATCAACAGCAAATAAATGCTGATACGCTGAAAGTTCGTCTTGGGACGCTTTCGGCTGAAACAAAAAAACATTCGAAGCGGAAACGAAAAGAACAAAAAACAAGAAGAGCAGCGGAGGAGAGAAATTCGCATTCGATAATTGAATTTTCCCCGGCGGAGAGTATAGGAATAGGAAAAAAGTGTCCAAAGGAAAGAAGTGGGCGGGCGGGTGGCCACGAAGGACCCCGAGCGTGTCCAGCGATGCATGCGTCGCACGTATCCTGGAGGAGCGGAGCGGGAGAACGGGAGGAGTTCACGGAGGTCCAGGGAATCGTGGAGCGGGGAGCCAGCCGGCAGCTCCGAGCTGCTCCCATATTATGTGCACAATAAATAGACGTGATCAGCATGAGCAAGGTGAGGGAGCATCGCTGACGTCCTTCCCGTCCTGCCCCTCCTCCGCTGCTCGTCCTTTTCCTCGGGAGCTGTCCTTGCGCTTGGCTGAGCGGCCACATCGCTGGCTGCATGCTGAGAGGTGGCACACTAAGGGAAAATGTTCTTCTAAGTTGGAAAACTTTGAAAGAGAAACTAAACATTAATAGAACAAATAAATAAATTATCCATTTCTATGTAACTTAAGAGTAGGAATACAAAATAAAGGTTCAGCTAAAATAAACGTGTTTAAAAATGTTTTTATTCTTAATACAGCTTCAATAAAAAATGATTAAAAATAATCTTCATATACATATTTGCAAAGGGTTTAAAAACGTACATTTATTGTAGCATACTTTTCGACGCCCTTTCAAGTGGTTTCTGTGGAACGTCTTAAAGCTGCTGTTCAAGCTTCTACTGAAACACCTAAAAAATCGTTCGAGGAACTTTTCCTGAGTGCAGGGACTTGGAGCGCCGAAATCCCCGAGTGGAAGGCAGAAGAAGGA